TTTAGCGATTATTATAGTCACAGAACAATAAATACAGTAGAAGTGGTTAGTTAGCGTCTGATGCGTGCCAACTATAGGTTTCGAAAGATCTTTTTGAGCTCAGTCCGCGATCTTGGCTTTGTATGGTATGCTTGTGTCATGCTGTTGTGCAAATTCTATAAAATCCTAGAAAATGCCTTATTGTGCTATTTTGGAGTACAAAACTGATGACCGACCCAAAAATATTACCCGTGGTGGTATTTCATATCACCGGAAAGTCTCATTTAAATTTTTTTGTTTATCGAAATATTTTTTTGTTACAAGAAGCGAAAGTAAAGCTTGTACTCATGCAATATGGCCGCTTCTTTTTGGAGAACTAAATTAATAACTTCAATTCGTCGTCGTTCAGCAATTAACCGCTTGATGACAGCACATTGATTGAAATTCCAATATAATATTAAAACGTCGTAACTTGCAATAATAGGTATTAATGTACTTTCAACGATATGCCAACAGGGTAAAGTTTGAATTATAAATAACAATCCAGAATTTGTTTTTTTTTAATTTGAAACTACGGCCAATGAATATCAAGCTTTTGTAGTGTTTCAAATTAAGAATGTGTGAGTTTTGGCGACATCGGTTCTGATAGTAATCCAGTCTTAAGACACTTCCATTGTTTTTTCTTCCGTGATTATAATAATCGGGTGTTTCTACAGTTTAGTAAATAATTGCTCAAAATTTTTACAAAGTTGAAAATTAAATTTTACTGATTTTTGAAAATAGTATGGGACGGAGTATTATTTAAATTAAATTAAATTAAAATCAATATTGAAGACGATATTTGGTTTTTAAAACTATGTCTAGCTACGGCAATGAAGAATCGACTTGGAAATGATTTTTTATGATAAGGTAGTTAAATATAAGGTTACTGTAATGATGTGCATGCATATAAAAAATATATATTATTTTGTCATTCCTATTCATAATGATAAATAGAAAATTTAAAGTTAAACCTAAAAAATGAAACAGAAACTTAAAATTGCAACAAAACTTTAACATAAGTATCACCTCGAAAGTACCACCAAATCTTCACCTGGAACTTTAGGTGCTAATTATTATTAATTGGGTCTCTGGGTTACTAAGACATTAAATGTAATGTATATATGTGCGTGCGCGTGCTCATGTAGGTTTGAGCATACGTGTATGTATAATGTGTAAATTCTATTACTAGTAACAATATAATAATTAACATTTTCTTTGCTAATAGCTATTTTTTAGTAAACAACATTGTATTATTAATTAAATCAACAAAACAAAATAAATATTTTCTAAAACCCAAAATTATAATAAAGAGTTGGAAAAAATAGCACACTTAAAAGTTACATATTTTTTTAACGTTATACTCACTCAGTACTATTCAAACACTATTTTTAATAGTCTATTTCTTGTTCTTTCCTTTTTCTTTTTACCCTTACCTTTTCCTTTTATGTAACCTTATTAGTATCGTCATAGCTTTCGTTTTCTTTTTTTGGTTAGTTTAACTTCTACTTCTTACTTCTCTAATGAAAGAATTTATACCAACATTTCAAAATTACTGCTTTTTTTAGTGTTAAATATAATTTTTTCCAGCTATTTGTTTTTCAGTCTATAGTAATATATAAGTACCAAGAATGCTACTTGTGTATTATTTTCGGTATATGTACAAAGACTTCAACTTTTTATTCTCTTTTTCCACATCTCTTATAACCTTTTTCAGTACTTTTACCTTTTTGTCTCGTTGGTATCTCAGTCGTTTAATTTTTTGCTCTCAATTGAAACAATTTCTCAAGAATGTTCATACTCATATTTTCGTCACTTTTTTGCAATGAGGAAGATAGATCTGATACAAATGGATATAATCCTCGTTTTTTTAGTTGCTTTTGTTTGCTACCTTCTGAGTCCAAAAGTTCAATCTCTTTGTTGAACTTTTTGTTTGTTGAAATTTCTTACTATTTATCCCCCATCTCCTCAGTCTTTCTTGACACCACGTAGACAGAGTGCACATAGTGTAGGTGGTGTCAATTCATCTCTACTATTGATTTGCTTTTCTGTCTTTCCTTTTAAGTATCGTATTATTTTCTGTTTGTTTTTCAGTGGCATATAATTAATTCTTCATTTTGTTTCAGCACGGCATAGCGTTCACGCTTGGCTAATCACAGTTTTTTTTACAGATATTTTTTTAATTCGTGTAAAAACATGAAATAAGTTATTGCAATACTTAGAACAAGTAGATAGTTATAAGTTAAAATTATTAAGTTGAGTTAATAGTCTATTTTAATTTTTTATTCCATTGGAACAACGTCCACATTTGTCTTTGTATATTCACCCAATCATCACTGACTGATGAGTCAGGAGTCGTTTGAAAAAATGGAAGAGTAGGTACTATCATAGTTGTTCATGGATTTCGAAAATGAACTCATAGTAACAAGCACGCCAGGTAACAGATCTATAAGACGATTCTGCTAAATACCAACTGGCCGCCTTAGATTCAGTTAAAAAGCGTATGAAGAGGCTTGTAGGCGACTCGGAATTAGCAGAGGTGAAGTCGTAAAGCCTTGAACACCACCGTAAAGTTGCTGGCTTATCAGTATTCTATAGGATATATCACTTAGTGTCACGAGTGAGTGTATGCCTACTCATATAATTCAGTTACCTTCGATTTGCCCAAACGATGTCAGGAGATTCTAATAACATAACAGTTCTAATCCCTGACGGTTCCGACATACTTAAGCACATAATTTTTTAAATCGACTATTGAAACAAGTTCATCATCGCTGTGATATAAAGTAACAGTGACAAAACAATATGTTTTAAATATTTTAGTAAAATATATTTCAGTTCGAGTTCTTAGGTTTTCACTATTGTTACACATAGGAAATGAAACTATTTTTTAACCAACTTCTAAATAGGAGGATGTTCTCAATTCGACTGTATGTTCTTCTTTTTTTTCTTTTTTTTTTTGTATGTATGTTACCCGATAACTCCGGTATTTGTCAACCGATTTTCATGATTCTTTTTTTGTTGGAAAGGGGGTACTTCCATAGTGGTCCCATTTCATTTTGAAGAAAGTCATCCACCTAGAAGGGTGGCTGTTCACGCATGAAGATTCATTTCTATAAATAGCGCCTAACTTTAACTTAGGAGCAATTACTTTAATGGTTGATTTTGCTATTTCTCCAAGTCAAGGCGTTTTTCTCTTAATGTACTTTGAGTAGTGAGAACCGATTTTTATTATCTCTAGTGTCAAGTCCTGTATAGTGGCGAACCATGCGATTTTTCAATAAAACTTAGCAAATAGACGTAATTCCACGCACTTTTGAGGTCGGTTTTTTTAGTACTCTGTACTGAGATTATCCTGATTTAAATGGCGTATATTTGTTTTTTCAAACAAACCGACATTTCGGGCCCTTTACAGGTCTCATGGTCACGGTTGACTAAGGTTAATAATAATAATAATAATAACGCACACACTCAACATAGCCCCGCACTAGGGAAACCCTGTGTCGCGGGTGCCATGGACACACACATAGACAACCACAAATTACACCCAAACTCACGAGAGAAATAAATGTAAGCCATTCAAACATTTCTCCCGGCCCGGGAATCGAACCTGGGACCTCTGCGTGGCAGACCGGCATGGTAACCGTTCGGCCACGGAGGCAGTTTGTGGTACAGTCTTCTACCAGTTATGTCTAATATTAATGCAAACCACCCTATTTTTTTACTATAGTTACAATAGTTATTAATTAAATACTTTATTTTTAATTTTACAAAGAAAACATTCCAATTTGCGCTACATTAACTTTTACAAATTATGTTATTGAATGAATTTTTATTAAGTTCAATTTATTATTAATTAATAATAGAAATTAGAATAAACTAAAACGTATTAATTAGTACTGCAGTCTTATGTCTGTTTGGGATTTTTCATCAGAGGAAATACTGGAGCCACCATGGGACCTGTAAAAGGCCCGAAAGGTCGGTTTGTTTGAAAAAACAAATATACGCGATTGAAATGCGGAAAAATAGTTTCATTTCCTATATATTTCATTGGTTCAGACTTAGAATACTCTTCCACCCTACAATATGATTACTTTTTGTAACACCAGAAGGATACATATTTTTGTATGAATATTTCCAAAAACTGACACGTTTAAAACGTTTGACTAATGTGCTCTGGTATTAGAAGAAGCATCATCATATAACATTTTCATTTCTTTTCAACGTCTCAACTGCATTATGCTCTACTGGAACTCTTGCATCAAACTCAAACCAAACGCTAATAATGCAATTTATACGATATTAACAACCATATCTATGTATTAAATATAGCATTTTGACAATATTAATTTTATTCATTCGATTTAGCTTAGCTATCTAGTTTTTAAGCTGTTAGTATAGGATTTGTAACATCAACTAATAAATTTGTGTGTTTCCTGGTGGCATACAAAAATTTCAGCATCAATTTATATTTCTAAATATGATCCTAAAGTACTTGCTAATTAGAATAATCGATTGGAGTTGGTGTAAGTTACGGTGCGTATTCTCAACTCAACAGTTGAGAATTAGATTTAGCAATATTGTATCAAATAATTTGATTACTTGAATGGTAACAAACACTCAATTGCCGTCCAATTTGTCTATCATTCACCAAAATTTAACGTCACATATTAATTATCAGGTGATCAAGTTCGGCGATACTCTTTGTGTGTTCCTTTCACACTTCACTGTACACTTTATGCGCTAGCGAAAGCTTACTATAGTATACGGCAATTTCAAGATATATCTGAATTCCCATAATCCATAAAATTTTTGGGTATCAAATTATCGTACGTGCAAACGTACGTGAAAATCGGAGTAGATCAAACATTTGGATAAAACTTATCCAGAATAATATTTATTTACATATTGGGACGTTAATAGTTTGGTTAGGATGGATCTCGAGTAATTGTAATCATGATATTATTCGGAAACAAATAAAACAAGGTATCTGCTCATGTCATTTTGTTTTTATTTATATACGCCTTAAGCGTTAGACTGAATCCAGTTAGACGCAGTAGAAACGCGGGCATTCACACCAGGGAAGAACGGATCAGCACATCCAAGTCCAAAAGAGCAGACACCAACAACGATGTTGTTGTGCAGCAGTGGGCCACCAGAGTCACCCTGGCACTGGTCACGGCCGCCGACGTCCAACCAGCCAGAGCACAACATGTTGGCAGTAATAGAGATACCACGAGTGCCGTATCGTTGACTGCAGACCGCCTGGTTGATTGTCCAGATTTGAACGTGACGTAGTTGCTCAGAAGCTGCACCACCACTCTACACAAAAAATAAATAAAGATTAAGTTTAACGGTTTTAGTTCTAAAACAAAGAAACGAATTGAAAAAAATTTGCAATTACCGAAATGCGTCCCCATCCGATGGCCCACACGACCTGGTTATCACCAAGATTGTAATTGGCACCTGCAATGCTTGATGGCGCTACGGTGCCACCAACATACTGGATATTAGAGCTAAGTCTCAAAATGGTGATGTCGTTGTTTTCAGTACTAGGATTGTACTGGGGATGATTGATGATTTGGGCTGTCAGATGAACAGCACCACCGCTGTTTGCAAAGGAAGAGCCTACACGACTGCGCCATCTGCCAGGGACATTGCCGGTCCTGTAAAAATAAAATGTAATAAATATTAGTTGGAGTACTACAATGCTATTAATTCGAAATTCCACACGGATATTACACAATCACGACACACTAGTAAACAGTTTAAAGAATAAGAATATTCGAGATGCGATTCGAATGGTTAACTCAGTTAGTAGATAAAGCATTTTTCAGATAAATAAATGCCATGTTAATTGTGAAGAAAAAAATTTGCAGCCAGTTTAACATATGGCTAAATAATGAAATTAAAGCAAATAAAACTTCTTTGAAATACTAATTACCTTCAAAACGTAAAAGTTACATATGAATGAATTCTTCAGTTTAGTAAACAACTTGTCTTCCAAACGCAAACATGTTTACATTAAATTAAGACACTATAATTCGTTTATTACGTACCCCACGGTACAGTGAGCAGCGCTCAATACTGATCTCTGGTTAAGGATGGAACCACCACAGCTTTGCCAGAATGTAGTCTGGGCTGCAGAGTAGAGCAAAGCGACTCCAAATGGATACTGGTTGATGGTAGTCAATGATCCACCAACGATCCTTTGTGGTTCATAATGATCCGGAGGTGGCCCAGCTACTTCAGCTATAGAAATAATAAAGAAAACTGTTAATTTTCAAGACATTGATTCACTGGCTTTATTTTATAGCGGTATACCGCTGGCAAAATGCAGTTCAACCTTTTCAGTAAGTATAAAATATATCTGTAATGATTTAATGTAATAGACGAACGTACCCAAAATAGATCTTCAAATAGATTCATTCAAAAAGCCATAGAACTTATAAATGACTCATTTTAGCAACTTCTAGTTGTAGTTAGGGTCAATGAAATAATTTGTCATTAGTATGTTTTTTCTTACCCGAGGCAATAGCCAAACAAGCAAGCAGGGCAACGGCGATACGCATGATCAGTTCTTCTCCTTCTTCCAATCACAAACTAAATAAAATTTCTATTTCTGGTACTATATATACAAAAGATAAATATTAATCCCCGATAATTTTAATCTAAGTCCAATAGCCTAGCAACTAATTAGGAGACGTTTATGAGTAGTTGCACATACTTAGCATTTTATCTACATTGTTCAAAATTTAAATCATGGTTTCTGCTTACGAATCGAAAAATCTATATGGACAGCGGTTTTCTTCACTTTCGGTTATTGGCACACATCACTGTAATCTAGTCCTGTCTGCTAGCGTAGCAACTGCAAATCCTGTTTTCAAAAGGTATAGTTGTGAAAATGTTGTGTTCCTCGTAATAGCTGCTCCATTACGTCAGGGAACACCCCCACCGCGTTCATAGGACCCATCGGACCAGGGAAGTCCTCAACGACCCTGACAACCCTTGCACCCTCGCCACGTTAAAGGCCAACCCAATAGCAATTCAGTCACACTAGACGCGAAATGGCCATCCTCGCTGACCGCAGACTTACTCCCAGAGCACGCTCTTCTGACGGAAGTTTTCAATAGCTTTTCACTGAGCCGAGGTTCGTGGCCACCTAGGCCCCCTCGGTGCCAAAACAAAAATGTATTTTGTTTTTAACTTAATTATGTAACTATTTATTGCAATAATAAAACTGCTATTGTTAACTACGTTAGTTATTGATAGGAAATTAAACTATTTTTCCGGATTTAAATCAAATAAAAACCAATCAACGTTTCGGGCCCTTTACAGGTCCCATGGTCACGTTTGATACGTTTATTTGAAAAACCAATATACGCGATTGAAATCCGGAAAAAAAGTTGCATTTCTTATGTGTAATAATTGCGAAAACCTAAGAACTCAACATACGTTAGTTATTATTATTACATTTCAAAAAGTGACGACTAGAGTTATTTTACTTAAGTAATTGCCCGTGTATTCGAGGTCCTCATAAGACCCCATCTTGTGTTTATGAGAAATGAAAACTGAACCCAAATTCATAACGGTATCAATATAGATTAATCTTCAAAAATTTTGCAAACTAACAGAGATAAAAGTACTTTATGTAAGTCCATTAATTACATTTGTGACGTCTAATCCTCGAATGCATTAACGGGTAAAACTAAGATCGATAACGCGTCCTTGGCGTAACGAAACGGTCTACTGTAAAATACACTTCATTCTGCTTTCTGTGCGCCGTTACTGTGCACCGCATTACTGGACAGTAATAGATCCGAAAGTATTTAATATTGCTTCAGACCCATATTACTAAACACATACTGCATTTTACAGCTAAATAATATCCTCGTTATAAAGTCACGTGTGATCAATCGTCAAAAATGTTTTTATCACATGAAAGTCATAGCAATAATGAACTATCTGAAACAAATAATTTAAGAAAATCTGAAATCTTATAATTCTGCTATTTAAGAATAAAAAAAATTGTGGACGAATTACGTTTGTATAATCTTTAGTCATCTCTCCGGAAAAGCTGTAATTTTGCAAATGTGGTTTTTTTACACCAGAATGCGATACTACCTATAATCATAAATTAAATTGCTAGCTTACGAAAAACCGTCAATCCTGATGGGAGACGGAAGACATTTTTTTTATTTTGTTTTTTTTTATAACACCAAGTGACGGAACGAACAAGTAGTGCACCTGATGATAAACTACAGGCCTGTCCAAAACAGTAACAGTGCCACTCAGAGCTTTAAATTGCAAAGATCTGATGAGTGGGAAGGAATTGACAAGTCCCATATGCCTGTAATTTCACCAGCACCCTAAACCTTCATAACTGGAACACAGGAACACAGGAATGTTGACATTACTGCTTGGCGGCAGAAATAAAGATGACAGTAATACACTGGATGAACTCTTTCACAAGGAACTCTACTGCCACTACTCTACTGCTACATTAAAAACAATTTTAGATTATGAAATTCAATTGTAATAGTAAATTAGTTCTTACCCCCTTAATATAAATCACATTTTACAAAGTGGTATTTAGGAGCCACGTTGCAAATCACACAAGGAGACTAGTTCGTCGTTTCTTTAAACATGAAATCCTCCTTTCAGAAGAAACTTAGGTGTTCTCAACAGCAGACAATTTTATATTACAATACTAACTATATTTTTTCAATTATTTGTTTAAAGACAATGTGCAGACGAAACATTTAATCAATCAAAAAATGATCAATCTTTGTTTTGTTTTAACCCTAGAATCCGTACTCTTAAACCTTTTGTTCCACTGTTTGAATACAAAATAAAAGCAACATTTCATTTCATTTCTTTGAGACTAAACTGCCTCCGTAGAAGACGTTCTTATTCGGCGCACGACTTATTCGTCCCGTCACTAAACATTGTATTAAAAGACTGTAATAACTACCTCCGCGGCCGAACGGTTACCATGCCGGACTGCCACGCAGAGGTTCCTGGTTCGATTCCCGGGTCGGGAGAAATATTTGTATGACCTACATTTATTCATCTCGTGAGTTTGGCTGTAATTTGTGGTTGTCTATGTTTGTGTCCATGGCACCCAGGATTTCCCTAGTGCGGAGCTCATTAAAAAAAGACAATTTAAGTTACTGCTTATTATAATGTGTTAGACCAACTATTTTTATTTTTTAAATTTTAATATTTTGACTTTGTTTACATTCGTGTTAGTAGGTAAAATTATTTTATAAATTTTTATAAAATATAATTCAAATTATCAATGCAAGCCACCAAAAACAGATTAGGCAATATCATCCATCAAGCCTGTCACCCAAGAGATTAACTTAAGGATTTAAAAATAAAGATAAAATGACACGTATTCAATGTAATGACACGTATCACGAGTATAAAAAACTTAATGCAAATTGTTTGGATACATAGGAACGTACTTGTTCGTTTTTGATATCATTGTACTAGAAAGGGTTGAAGTAACCTTCCACTACTTTTAACCAACTTCAAAAAAAGGAGGAGGTTCTATGTTTGGCTGTATGTATGTTTTCAGATATATCCGTCAATTTTAGACCGATTTTGAAAATTCTTTTTTTGTTTGAAAGGGTGCACTCTCGTGGTGGTCCCATTGTCACCAAGTCAGAATCTGATGAGGGGATCATGGAAAAATCGAACGAAATCCTCAAATGTTACAGTCATGTCCATGTATTCACCAATTTTGAAATCAATTGCTGACCGATTTTGAAAATTCTTTTTTTGAAAGGGTATATTCGCGAGGTGGTGCCTCATGATGTCATGCGTTTCGGCTATCACAAATTATTCCATCTAAATTCAGAATTATTTTATTTTAATGGGATTAAATTGCTACATTTAGTAGCAGTAGAGCAACTTGGAACAAAAATTCGTCCAGAGAATGACTACCACCGTAACTATTTCCGCGGCAGTAATGTGAGAATGTGAGAGTGCTGATGAAATTATAAGAACATGGGTCTTGTCTAGTCTTGCGATTTCAAGCCCTGAGTGATACTGCAACTGTTATGGATAGTGCGTATTGCTTACATACGACTTGTTCATCACGTGACTTGACAGTCATAAAAAACATAATTCGTATCAATAACTTATCTGTACAATAGACAATGACAACGGTCAGCAACTACCTTGTCCAACGCATTAGCATAGCTATACAAAGGGGGAAAGCTGCCTGCAGCTTAGGCACCTTGCCGGAAGGACCTAATTTTATTCATATATTCTATATATATCTATATATATATCCTAGTTTTACTGGTTAGTATTTCAGCTTTTATTGCACCTTTCCTGTATATTTTAACTTTTTGTCTAATAAGTAAAATGACATAACCTTATTATTCTGACGGTGGTTCAACATCTTTATTAAGATTGATGAAGATTTGAGTTTTCGTAATATATAAACATCTACATATGTATTACTTATTATATTTATTCATGTATTTGTAAGTTACAGCTTCAGTACTTAGTTACTTAGTAAGTTCATTACTTAGTTGGTCTTAATCAAGCCAGGAGCAGAGAAGCACTGGTGTTGACGCTAATAATTAATAATTCTACTTAATCCTAAACAATCAAGAGCACATCAAAGACTTTGTAATCGGAGTCAAATCACTTTTGTTCGAATATCATCCGTGATGCAACCGAACAAGATCCTCAATTTTTAGAGTTGATGTGCTCATGTTGCCATTGGTAGCAATAATATAGTGATATATAATTTAATTTAAACTACCGCAGTAATTTAATAGTTTGGCTTGCCGCCTCTCGACAGAGGTCGTGACTTTGAATCCGGCCTCGCATCTCTGACTTTCTCAGAATTTATGAACGAAATTTAATTTGAAATTTACCATTAGCTTTTCGGCAAATGGATAACCGTGATGAAATCTGCACGTCGAAAAAGGTTCACCAACCTCGGTAATGTGAAGTCCCCAACCCGTATTCAGCCAGCGTGGTGGTCTATGACCTAAAACCCCTGGCCAGAGAGAAGACCCGAGCCCAGCAGTGGGACGTATGAATGAATTGATGATGACGATGATGATGGTAATTTCATTGCCTTGTAATTACATTTTGTATAAATTTGCTTAAACCAAGTAGAGTTCTGAGGTATTCGCGATTGCTTCTCATTGGAATTGATATCATTTTTTATTCAAAAGAGGAGGAGGTTCTCAATTCGACTGTGTTTTTTGTTTTTTTTTTTGTATGTATGTTACGCGATAACTCCGGTATTTGTGAACCGATTTTCATGATTCTTTTTTTGTTGGAAAGAGGGTACTTCCATAGTGGTCCCATTTCATTTTGAAGAAAATCATCCACCTCTAAGGGTGCATGAAGATTCATTTTTATAAATAGCGCCTAAATTTTACTAAGGAGCAATTATTTTAATGGTTGATTTTGCTATTTCTCCAATGTAAGGCGTTTTTCTCTCCATATAATTTGAGTAGTGAGAACCGATTTTTATTATCTCCAGTGTCAAGTCCTGTATAGTGGCGAATTTAAGGATATTTCAATAAAACTTAGCAAATAGACTATAAATAGACTGTAAATCCACGTACTTTTGAGGTCGGTTTTTTTAGTACTCTGTACTGAGATTATTTCGAATTTAAATCATGTATATTCGTTTTTCAAACACTAACTGAGAGTCAGTCATGATCACGGTACCTGCAAAGAACCCGAGACGTTGTTTGTTCGAAAAAAATATAGACCAATTTTCCATTGTTTAAAATAATCAAAAGGAAAAAACAATAAAAAAAATTGCAGCCGTTCTGAATGATATCCAAACTAACATAAATGCGAAAGTAACCCTGTCTGTTACGTTTTCACGCCTAAAACACTGAACTGTATAGAGATGGAACATAGGGTACTTTTTGTCACAGGTTTTGAAATATGGGATGAAAGTTAGTATGGAGAACCAATAAAACTATGAAAATTAGTGTAATATAGGCCATTCGAAGTGTCATTCTACACCAGCTAGTAAGAAAATAAGATGCATGGGACTTGTCAACTTATGTCTCAGGGTGACTGACGCAGTGGCAGCCCCTAAGATTTGTGCGATTTAAAACTCTGAGGCATTGCAACTGATATGGATAGGCGTGTCGCTTACCATCAGGCGCACGACTTATTCGTTCCGTCACTTGGTATTATAAAAAGTAATAACAAATTACAAATACGACGTAGTTACAGTCTACCTTTAAAAGGTTTTTATTTAATAAAAAACATTTTAAATAATTATTAGAAATTATTTGAAATTACTAGTATACATGCCCAGATCAACATCCAGTCGAAACACAACAACAACATAATATAGTCATTGACTCATTGACTGCTTAAAAATTTAGATCTAAAATGCAAGTATCTTCATACTTAAATGATAACGGCGCTAAACATACCTTCGCAAAAGGCATGTAGAATATTGGAATTGAGTTTTTGTTTTTTAACAGCTCCTGCCATTGTACAGTAGGAGATTAAAACTGATAATTAATAAATAAATTATTTGTGGAATGCCAAACGAAATTTTTATTTGGAAATGAAATTATTTTTGCGGATGTAGATAGTGTATATTTGTTCAATCAGTCATGACCATAGAACCTGTGAGCTCGTAACGTTGGTTTGTTTAAAAAACGAACATACGCGATTTAGATGTATTTTATAATTTCCGATGTCGTCAAAACATTTTCCTTTCCGAAAAATCAGAATATAAGTATAATTTAAAATTTGTAGCAATCGTAAACACATTAGAACTATTTTTTTTTATGTAAGAAATAATGACATTCTTGACAACTGCATCCGTGGCCGATGGTTACCATTCCTGGTCTGCCACGCAGAGGTCCCGTGTTCAATTCCCGGGCAAGGAGAAATATGTGTATGGCCTGCATTTAGTTCTCTCGTGAGTTTGGTTGTAATTTGTGATTGTGATTGTGTGTGTCAATGACTCCTGCGATACAGGGTTTTCCGTGGGACGGGGCTTTGAGTATATGCGTTATTATATAATTCAGGTAAGGAATTGAGGGAGTTAGACTACCTAAAATATGAACGTGTTCTTAGTATGGACATACCCATTTCGTCATCAACGCGTATAAAGTTTCTTTTGTTACATTTTACTTCCTAAACATTCCAAAATATAGATTGTCTCATGTTTATTTTTTAAATGGTCAAAGTACTTAAATACGTAAGTACCGAATATTCAAATATAATTAGTTACGAGAAGTCCCGGGATTTGTAGAAGGGAGTGTCCATGTTATTCCTTAGTATCATTAAAATAATAGTTTATTATTGTGATAATATACAAATAAGGTACAATAAAAAAATACTAGGAAGTAAAACTAATATTTTTAAATTATATGAATAAAATTGGGTTCCCGCCGCAAGGTGCGTGCCCCCTTTGAATAGCTATGCTAATGCGTTAGGCAAGGTACATGCCCTTGGGTTTTCCAGACAGTCTTTTAATTTTTTAGATAAAATTTTGTACAGATGAAGGGCACTGGAACCCCACGGGCCAAGGGTTAATATAGTTTAGTTTATTTGTATGGAAAAAACCTGGTTATATAATCGGTGGAAAAAATACAATCTAAAATTATTGCTTGTGTCGAACTGTCACAAATAAACCCAAATTAATGGACTTCATTAAAAAAATATATAATTAAACGTTGTTCCCAATCCACGAAATATAATTTGATACTCGAGTATTGATCCCGAAATATCGAGAATGACCACAATAATGGTTATACGAAGTAATTGCGAGAACTACGTAGGTGTTGATATTTTGATTGTGATGTATTAGGGGGCTGCCAGAATCCCCAGTACATTGTCCTCTTCCACCGACGTCCAGCCAACCTGCGCAAATCATATTCTGGGTTATACTGAAACCCAGCTCTTGATAGTTTAATTGGCATAATTGCTGATTTACTGTCCATAAGAAAGTGTGGTGAAGTTGCTCTGAAACTGATCCGTCATTCTGAAATGATAAGAAGAATATATGACTTTTTGGAATTTGTAAATTAAAATTTTACTAAAATAATAAAGTTTTGACCGTAGCAGAGGTACCTTCCTAGCATATTTGACTTGTTTCTATAAATAAAATACCCATATAGACTAGGCTTAACCGTTTTAACAATATGTGAGGAAATGAAACTGCTGACTGAAGCAGCCATGACCATGGGACCTGTAAAGAGTCTGAAAGGTGGTTTGTTTCGAAAAAAAAAGAAATATACGCGATTTAGGTCCGAAAAAGCAGTTGCGTTCCAATGTATTATAAATTTGTAATTGCCACAAGTTAAGACCTCGAAATTTGTATAAACCTCATTGATCGCAGTGAGTGTAGGATTAATTAAAACAAAGACCGAAAGATTTTTGAAAACATATATTATTTAAAATTCACTGAATCGGAACACTGTTATTAGTACGACGTACCTACTTGACGAGCTCAGTGGTCAAGTGGCTTGCACATCGGTTTTCATTGTGTTCCCGATTCGACCCGAACTAACTTTTCTATATTGTTTTGGGTCTGGGCTGTGAGAACGTCGTTGTTTCCGATTTCCAAAAATTAAGAACGGTAACAGTGCTGGTGAAATTACAGGCACTCGGGACTTGTCAACTTATGTCTCAGGTAGAGGCACCGCAAGTATCATGGACAGACGTGTCGCCTACCACCCAGCACAGGTTAATTATAAAAATAACACTTACATTTAAGTGATTCCAACCGCTGACCAGAACAGGTATATTATCTCCAATAATATAATTAGAGTCAGCCAAAGTGGCGGGTTGAACTGCATTGATGACGAAATCAATGATAGTTGCAGTCCGGATAATTGATATATTGTTATCCATATCAATCCATCTGAAGTCAGGGTGGTTACTATACTGATAGACATAGTGAACAACCCCACCGCTGTTAGCAAAGGATGAACCCACTCTGATGCGGAATCTATTCGCGGAGTCTCTAGAACAGAAAACAGATTATGATATTAGAACTATTAGTATAGTGTCATAATATTATAGTTTGGTCGGTAACTGATAATGTAGTTTGACCTAGAAGACTATAATGTCTTTTTTTCATCACACTTGCTCGTAATCATGCTATAACATGCGGGCAAAGTCGGCTGTAATGTGCTGAATTACGCCCACGACATTTTCGTTACATTACCGCCTTATACGTTAAGATTAAGTAAGAAATTGAATGGTAGGAAAAATCTAGATATTTGCTAAATTCATTTTATACTGTAGCATTTTTAGTATTTTCAAATTATTAATTTTGTATGATGATATTACATGGCTGTATGCGTTTTTGTGTTTTACAACATTTTAGTTCGAATTGCATTATCTATGAAGAA